TAAGACTGCTTTTGCGCGTCGCCCTCCACCATCTCCTCCACTCCTCCTCCTGTCGAGCCGTGCTTCGGCTACTTCTTGCGTGCAGCACGCTCAGATCCTTCTGGATGTCTCTCTCGAGACGGCCCCTCGGCCGCTGGCCGCCGCTGGCCACTGGTCCCTCGTGGCCGAAGAGCCACACCAGGGCCGTCCCCAAGTCGCACGTCACGATCGTCATCGGTGGCATGTCCGCCAGGCACCGAGCTCCCTCGCCCATGTCGTCACCATCCTCTCGGTCCTCGCTGCCTGCTGCGACCCCATGCCTCTTCGGCCAGCTAACGTCCTCCAGCGGGGTGGTCGCCATCGTTTTAATCGCCATGGTCAACTTACTATAGGCCGCGTCCCCCTCGGCTTCGTCAAAGCGCGCCCTCTTCACCCTGAAGCTCTTGATAGAGCATTATTCGGGGAGGGACAGACCCCCCTAAAAAGTGGTTCAGTGAAAACGACCTGAGGCCCAAACCTGGCGGGCGCAAGCCTGGAAAATATCGGCCACGGCGCCCTCTCGAGAACCGAAAACGAACAATCCACTAATCGACGTGTCACTGTTTGGGGGTCCTGCCCACCCCCGAAGTATGTGAGGCTCGGCACCTCCTCCCGCGCCATGCTTCGGGGGCGCGCAATCATGGACTAGCGATCCGTGGATCTTAGGCGCGCGGTCGCCAACTCCATGGATCGGGGGAGGTGCCCTCCCCAGAATGCGGCCGATGCCGCCCCGCTCGGCGACGGAGATCCTAGATTTCCCCCATGGAAACGGGGCCCGTCGCCAATCCACGCCCCCTTGATCCATGCTTGCGATCGCCTGGATGTTGGCCAGCATGACTCCTCCGCCTTCTCCAGTATCCTCCTGCTGTTTCTTCTCCTTATCCCTCCCCCTCCTCACTCCCCATGCCCCTAGGTTTGGCTCGAGCGGTTGCATAACCGGTTCCGCGCCGATCCCCGCCGCGACGCCCTATCGGGCCGCCATCCAACAGGCGCGACGCCTGCCTACTCTCCTCCTTCCTATCCCCAGCGGCCTCGTGACGAGCCCGCTACTCATCGTAGAGCGCGCAAGCAGCGCGCCAACGCCCGCACGCTTTTAAGGGTGCACAAGGCCGCGATGATGCTTTCACAGCACCATTCCTTTCAGGGCATCCCCCAGCAAGGCGCTGTTCCTCCTACCTCACCCCCTCAGCATGCGCCACTATCTGGGCTGCAGCAGCATGGCATGGCTACTTCTCCCACCCAACGCTTGGCTGCCCCTCCCTCACCGTCTCTTTATGCCACGCGCCTGCCCCTAGACTTTTTTCCTCCACCCCAGCAGCCAGTGCACCAGAAAGGCAGCGCCCCGCCCGAGTTCTGGTATTGCCTGCAATGCGGCCGGGCCAATACCACTTTGGATGCCTCATGTCCCAACTGTTTTCCGACCAGGGCCGCAAGTCATCAACAAGCGAAGGTCGGCCCAGTCAAAGGTCAGGGGCAGCACAGGCCCCTGCACGATGGAGGCGCGGGGCCGGGCCACAAGGGCCCTCGCCCGAGACTTCCCCAGCAATGCAGGGCAATGGCGAACAGAAAACATTTCGATATAGGTTTTAGATAGGTTCAAAAGTAGGTTCGGGAGATAGGTTCGCAAGCATAGTAGGTTCCAGGAAGAAGGTGCAACGCGCGGGGAAAACGTGTCATCGGGCAGATAGCCTCCCGTTACTGGGTTTGCCAAAGCGCGTCGGCGCAAATGCCGCGGGCAGCTAAGTTGGCGAAGCGAATTCGCCAAACTAGCCCTGGCGAGTGCACCCGGGGACGTTCCCTGGCCGCGGTAACCTCGCCAAGAAGGTTTGCAATGAAAAACGGCGTCAGGGCTGCATTTCAGGCAGGGGCCGCGACACTTTTCGCGCGATGCACCCTCGGGCACTAAACATAGAAAATTAACGAGAGCGGCTGCGGAGAAGACCACCGAAAACACGACCCGCCAGAAAAGCAGTCACGACGATGGGCGACCCAAAAACCAATAGTGGCAGCCCCAGCAACTGGTACGGCGAACAACGCAACTCAAGGAATCCCGGACAAGCCGGGCCGCCACCAACAATCACCCCGTACCAATACCGTGCCCCGGCGGGGTTCGGACACGCCATGGCTCCTCCTCATTATCACGGCCGCCCCGCCCAAGGTCATTCTGCCCTCCCCAAAGCCACTCGTTATCAATCACATCATGCTTCCCATCATCGCCCCCCTTGCCTCACCATCCTCCCCCTCGTCAGCCGCAGCATCCACGTTCTCATCCTCCTGCCCCCGATCCTCCCCGCCCTCCCCGCCCCCCCCTCCTCCTCCTCCTCCTCCTCCTCCCCCCCCTCCTCCTCCCCCCCCTCATATTCCCCATCTTGTTCCTACCTTTTCCCCCTCATCCCCCCTTCATCCGCCCCTCATCCTCCGCCCGATCCTCCGGGTCCTCTTGGCCCTCCTCCTCCTACTCCTCTCTCCTGTTCCTCCTTCCTCCTGGCCCTCCGTTTCCTCGACCTGGCTCTCCTCCTCCTCCTCCTCTTCTTCCTCCTCCACATCCTCCTCCCGGCTCTCCTCATCCACCTCCTCCTCCTCCTCCTCTCCCATTCCTCTTCCTCCTCCTCCTCCTCCCCCACATTCTCCTCCACCTCCTCCTCCTCCTACCTTCAATCCCTGACCTTCCATGCTTCCGAAAACAGTTTGAAGTAGGTTTGAAATAGGTTTGAAGTAGGTTTGAAGTAGGTTCGAAGTAGGTTTGAAGTAGGTTTGAAGTAGGTTTGAAGTAGGTTTGAAGTAGGTTTGAAGTAGGTTTGAAGTAGGTTTGAAACCTACTTTGAGGCCTCCGAAACCTACTTTGAGGCTCCTAAAACCTATTTTGAAGCCTCCGAAACCTACTTTGCGCTACCGAAAACCTACTTTTGGAATCCGGAAACCTTCTTTGGAACCTACTTTGCAAAAACAAATTCTGCAAACCTACTTTCCGACCTACTTTGGGGGCGCGGTTCCTTGAAACATCAGCACACGCTTGCCCGAGCCTTTCCCAGAAGTCGCCCCCGGGGGCGGCGCGCCAAAAAAGGAATCTGCGAAGTACCCCCAGAAGGTGAGCAAACCCAAAACACTTGTAGGTTGCCCCCGACAGGCGGGAGCCCCCCAAAGGGGGCGGTCTCCCCCCCCCCCCGAGGGTCGAGGATCGAGCGCGATTTCGCTGTCGGGCGACAAGCGAACGTACCGCGACAGGACAGGGCCTTTTGGCAGCCCCCCCGCTGGCGGGCAGGGGGCCGCCGCCTGGCGCCCTAGGTTCTTCAGAAACCAAACCTGATGCGGCCGCCCCCCGCCCCCCGGGGCCCCTCCGGGCCCGGCCCGACGGAGGCGCCACTCCCCTTCCGTTTCTCTTTCCTCCTCCCACCTCTCTCCACCTCCTCTCCTCTTTCACGCGCCCTCATTATTCCAGCCTCCCTCCACCTCCTCCCCCCGGAAACGCCACCTCCCCCCTACCCGCCTTCTGGAGCCCCCCACCCTCCCGTTTCTGACCTTCTTAACCTTCCTGGTCCTCCCTCTCGCCCCCCCCCCCTCTCCCTTGCTCGGGCCCGCGGCCCTCGCCCCGCCCTCCATGCCCCACTTCCCGCTGTGGTCAGACCAAGGGGGAAACGCAATGCCCCCAGATCTCAGGACGGAGGTGGTTTAGAGCGCTTCCTGTTCCAACAACCCCCAGTCTTCCCTTCGGGGATGGATGCGCCCCCCCCCCCCCTCCTTCCGGGGCCTGCAATGGGGGGCGGCGGATCGGTGGAGCGCCCGGGACGGTCAAAGATAGAGCCGGCATGACCTCGCAGAATGCAACGCGGTCTCACAGATGGTTCAAGATAGCCCAAGATGGATCAACATTGTTTCCCGCATGCTCCAAGAAACCCAAATACCGCTCCGAGACCGCCCCAAGCGGCCGCGGAGCCACCCAATAACACCCCCGAGAAGCCGAAATCTTTCCAAATCGTACGAGACACGAATGAATTGGGCCTTTTGGTCCATGCGCTTCCGAAGACTTTGGAAGCCTGAAGATAAGCCCCGAAGGAGTCCAGAAGAACCCAAGACAGCGCACTTCACGAATTACTCGGCTGGCTTGCTAGCAGAAGCCGCGCCTTGCCGGCGGCATTCCAGCATTTCCCCGAGAAGCTTGTTTGGAAAATATCATTACTGACCCGATCCCGACAAGTTACTTTTGATATTGTGTTCCCGACAACCTTTCCTGGAAAGCTACTTTTGCACATGAATGTCGCATTCCTTTCCCCTGAAAGTTTCTCGCGGCAATCGGTTTCGCCATCCTTTCCCTTCGAGTTACCTGCGCCGACCACTGTTGCCAGGCGCGCTGCAGACCTACTTCGCCGACCTACTTCAGGAGCTACTCTAAACCTACTTCATTTGTTTTGCGCCTCAAACAAGCCCTGCATTCAAAGGGAAGTCTCGGGCCCTCGCTCCTTTTCAGGCAGCACGGGGGGGATGCACCAGGGCAAGGGCCCCGCACCGACAGGTGCGCCGTCCTACGACCAGGTGGCTGCATGGGCAGCGGAATACGGCCTGCTCCCCGCGCCCCCAGGAGATCACGCGGTCCAAGAGGCTGGGATCTCCAACAAGGAGCGCAAGAAGCGTGAAAAGGACGACGCTCGCAGAGCTCGCGAGTACCAGCGCAGAGACGGGGAGCAGCCTCCATTGAAGGCTCCTGGCACCCCACACGGGGCTAAGGACACAGGCATCATAGGGCAGTCTCCCCAGTCAATGCCTTCCCCTTTTGCGCCTCCTCAAGACGGCGTGGCCACTCCCCCTACACTCTTCGGCCCTACCTCTGTACAGCAGTCCCCTTTCCTCGCGGCCGAACAGGCCTCTGCCTCGCTTGGGGCGCTGGATCCAGCCACCGAACTCTCGGAGGCGGAGCTCACAGCGCAGCGCCCTACTCTTACCCCAGACGAGGCGCACTCTCACTCAGCCTGGCTTTACCCCCCGCTTGAGCCCGACCGCCTGCTGGAGCACCGCAAGGCCCTTGCAATGAGCAAGGAGGCACTAATCCTGCAGCTTAGGGCCTCAACTCTCCTAGGACACTCCGATATGCGTATCACCGAGATCCGAAAGGAGATTTCACTAGTTAATTTTCAATTGGCCAACGCGAGGGATCCGCTGGCCAAGATTAGCGAGCAAGAGCACGTGGTGGCCTCCCTGCAGGCCAATTGTGAGCAATTGGCAGCCAAACAAACGCAGGCAGAGGAGCACGTGCGCAACATTGCCCTGGCCCTTCAGACCGCACAAG